TACTTAATATCTTCACTTACATGTCTAGTAGACGTCTCAAAGTTAACATTGACAAAACAGAGCTATTAAAAGTAAGATGCATATCTCATCCTACTTCACCCCTAAGTACTTCAGTAATCTTACCCACTAAATTTAGTATATACAACAATATCATCTAATACACAGTTTATATTTGTATTTCAAGATTGTCTCTAAAATGCCCTTTAATTTTTTTTCTTTTTGGTCAAGAACCAATCAGGGATGACACATTGCATTTTTTTAATCACACATTTTAATTATTTGATCTAGAACGTCCTCCTATTATTCTCTTGTCCTTTTTAGTCCTGATATTTTTGAAGAGTCCAAGCCAGGTATCTCAAAGAATGCTCCATAGGATGCATTCATCTGGTTGTTTCCTCAATAGACTAAGATTAAATGTTTTTGATAAGAACACACTACAGCTGATGGTGTATGTTTCTCACTGCATCACATCACAAGCTAGATACTGCTAATTTGTGGTCATGCTAAGGCTGATCCTTGCAAAGGTCATACCGGCCAGATCTTTCAATTGCAAACGTAATGCCCTTTGTAATTAATAAGTAAATCTAAAGTGACACTTTGGGATCTTCTAATAGTATTTTTGTTTGATAAAAAAAGAATAAAGTATGAAATCCACTTGTACTATATACATACACACAGACACAAATACACATACATACATCCACTACGTCACAATGTAAAACACATTTCTTTTTGTAGGTTGCATCAAAGTATTCTATCTGGTATTGGGTTGCGTATTTTCACTCCTTGAGGTTAGAGTGAGATGTCTCCAGTCTGGTTCTGAAAGGACAGTTTCTGGGCCTGTTACCACTAGATTTTCTTGGAGTTTTATCTTATTGAGACACTCTGCTCAGACCTATGTTAACTAAGAGAACTTAACAAAATTCAGTTCTCTCTCTTTGTGATCCTAAGCTACTTCTTATGTCAGTTGTCTCACTAAACTATCTGTCCCTGATGGCCTCTAGGTTGTCATTTGTGCGATTCAAAGGGAAATGCCCAGAGGAGAACACCAGTGAGTATGACAAAGGAAGCAGTAAGCATCCAGCTTTGGTCAGTAGAAACTCAACCATCACTGGACTTTTTGGGATCTTGCCCTCTATAAAATATCAGTGAGAGAAGTGTCTTTTGGAAAAGGACCTGTGAAAATGGTAAATTATACCATCCAGGAAGGATATGTACCTTCAGTAGTTATATCACATTTTTCTGAAACTTATTTCTATTTTTTTTTATTTTTGCTCTGGTTCCCATCTCCTTAGTCCCTTCTATGATGAAATTTCTTCTTAATAAAAAATATTTTATTTTTTCTTATTAAAAAGTAATATGCGTTGGGGCTGGCCCCGTGGCCGAGCGGTTAAGTTCGCGTGCTGCGCTGCAGGCGGCCCAGTGTTCCATTGGTTCGAATCCTGGGCGCGGATATGGCACTGCTCACCAGGCCACGCTGAGGCAGCGTCCCACATGCCACAACCAGAAGGACCCACAACGAAGAATATACAACTATGTACTGGGGGCTTTGGGGAGAAAAAGGGAAAAAAAGTAAAATCTTAAAAAAAAAAGTAATATGTGTTAATTCACGTTTTAGATAAGTAAAAAGAATAAAATAAAAATCAAGTGACTGACTGACTCTCTGGTAACCCAGTGCCCTTTAAGACCTGCCTAAAAATCACCTAAAAGGCATTAAACAGCATCAGGGAAGTGAAATTTGGATGCCGAGATATACTAATTCTCTGCCATTTAAATGTTTTATGGAGATAGTAGGTGAAAATATTTGAGATCAGGATTGTCCCAGAAAAAGATTATAGTATAATCTTAGAAAATATTCCTAATCTCCCCATTGCAGGCTCTCTCGGAGTGTGTGAGCATCCAGAGTTCCTGTTGGCCTCCAGGGAAGGTTATTTCTGACTGATTTCTGCTTGGATTAAACAGAGTAATTTCATTGTATTACTTGTGTAGTGGTATACTATTATTTAAAAATGGAATTGGATTTATTTGTAAATATATCTTGCAAAAACAGGGGCAACAACTAAAAAAGAAGTAAAAAAAAGTATAATTGATATATGCTGAAGAGGATAAAGTTAGAATCATATGAAATAATTAAAACCAGGAAGGCAGAAAAAGAGTGGAAGACCGAAAAAAAAAAAAAGAAACAAACAAAGAAACAAAGAACAATGGCAATAAATAGAAAACAGTAGCAAATACGGCAGATATTAATCCAACATGTAGACCAAAAGTAAATGGATGGAAGAAAATACACCATACTAACACTAATCAAAAGAAGCAGGAGTAGCTATATTAATTTCAGATACAGCAAACCTCAAAGCAAGGAAAATTATCGGGGATAAAGAAGGGCATTACGTAATGATAAAGTGGTCAACTCTCCAAGAAGACACAATGATCCTTAATGTGTATGCACCTAACAATAGGATGTCAAAATACATGAGGAAAAACTGATAGAATTGCAAAGAGAAATATATGAATCCATTATCATAGTTGGAGATTTCAACACCCGTCTATTAGAAATGGACAGATCCAGCAGCCAGAAAATCAGTAAGAGCGTAGTTGAGCTCAACAGCACCATCAGTTAACTAGATATACATCTGTAGATTACTTCATCCAACATCAGGAGAATATACATTCTTCTCAAGCTCATATGGAACATTCACCAAGATAGACCACATTGCGAGCCATAGCGCAAATTTTAACTAATTTAAAAGAATTGAAATCATACAATGGTCTAGACCACAGTGGAATTAAACTATAAATCAATAACAGAAAGATAGCTGGAAAACTCCAAAACATTTGAAGATTAAACAGCACGCTTCTAAATAATACATGGATGAAAGAAGAAATCTCAATGGAAATTTTAAAATATTTTGAACTAAATGAAAATAAAAGCACAACTTACCAAAATTTGTGGAATGAAGTGAAAGTGGTGCTTAGAGGGAAATTTATAGCAGTGAATACACATGTTAGAAAGAAGAAAGATCTAAACTCAATCATCTAAGCTTCCTCTTAAGGAAACTAGGAGAAGAATAAATTAAACCTAATGTAAGCAGAAGGAAAAAAATGAAAATTAGAACATAAACCAATGAAATGGAAAAGAAGAAATCAATAGAGAAAAATCAACAAAACCAAAAGCTGGTTCTTTGGAAAGATCAATAAAATTGATAAAACTCTAGCCAGTTTAACTAACAAAAAAAGAGAGAAGACAGAAATTACTAATATCAGACATGAAAGTAGGGACATCATTCTTGATCTTATAGATATTAAAATAATAATGGAAGAAAAGAATATTATGGATAATAAAGGAATAGTATAAAGGATTATTTTAGGCAACTTTATGCTCACAAATATGATATAACCTAGATGAAATGGACTAATTCCTTGAAAGATGTAATCCAGAAAAACTTACACAAGGAGAAAAATACAATCTGAATAAGCCTATATCTATTAAAGAAATTAAGTCAACAATTAATAACTTGCCAAAACAGAAACACCATGCCCAGATGAGTTCACTGGTGAGTTCTGCCAAACATTTAAGGAAGAAATTATACCGATTATCTGCAATCTCTTCCAGAAAATAGAAGCAGAAGGCATACTTTCTAACTCATTCTATATGGCCAGCATTACCCTAACACCAGAACCAGAAACAAATATTACAAGAAAGGAAAACTACAGACTGATATCTCTCATGTACATAGATGCAAAAGTCTTGAAGAAAAATATTAGAAAATTGAATCTAACAGTGTATAGAAAGAATTATACACTGTGATCAAATGGAGTTTATTCCAGGTATGCAAGGCTGGTCCAATATTCAAAAATCACTTAATATAATCCATCATACTAATAAACTAAAGAAGAAAGCTCACATAATCAATAGATTCTGAAAAAGTACTGGAAAGATCTAAGATGATTAGTGTCTTGTTTTTGCTCAATCTTGATAAAAAATTATCTCACAGCATTGTAGAAGAAATAGAGCAATGACAGTAAACATGATTTACTAAGTGAATGAGTCATGATTTTCCTTTTTCAAACTTTAATCCTTCCTTCTTCTTGCATACACATCCCAGGTGCCCCTTCCCTCAGTGCTATTTATGCTAGCCAATGACATTATCATACTGCCCTCTTTTAAAAGTACAACTGATTGACACATAAACCTATAATGCTAAGCTGGAAATGTATTATTGTTGCACACTCTAACATCCTAGTTAGTCCTAGAAATATGTTGGTATAGTACATAGCATACAGAAATGGTCACTTGAGGGAAACTGACAGATTTGTCAACCCTCCGTCCTAAGGATGAGCCTTTTCTTCCTGGATCAGTCAGTCATTTACTCCACAAATATTTGTTTGGTACCTGCCTTGTGTCAGACAATATTTTAGGTGCTCAGAATATGTAAGTGAATACAATAGACAAAGATAATCCCTGCATTCCAGAGCTTACATTTAAGAAACTTCTAAATAGAGGTCCTTAGCAACCCCCTGCTTTTTCATCTCATTATTTTCATTTATTTATTTATTTGTTAATTCTCCATTAACAAACATGCAGAATATCCACCATTGGCCAAGCAGTGTGATAGACAATAAGGTTGGGGTCAGAAGGCATTACATGTATTAACATCATTCTGTTGAAGGATCTGTAGTATGATCCACTATACCCTTAACACAAAACTGGTTTCCACTTACATCTTCCCAGTTATTTCCCTGATTATCCTGTATTCTCTCTCAAGTGTCCTTCAATCTTGTACAGGAATACAGTACTCCTATCTATTTAGTATTAGAATTCAGAGCTAAGGGCATAAGCCATAACTTTGAGGCACACATGTGCCAAGGAAAACAAAAACTTTGCTGGGTGAAAGGGTATGGGAGATGTCATGTTTTTAAAAAGTAGGGGTAGTAAGGTAGGATCTCATGTTTTTGTTGGGAGCTAGAGTTCTCACACTTATGATATCACTAAATGTTCCAGCCAATGAGGACACAGGAGGAGACTACAAGATTCTACTCTTGAGGAGAAGGCTAGAATGGACCTCAATGTAAAAAGGCGCTATAGAAAACAGAGTGTAATCAGGAGATGAAAGCTGAAACAGAAGAGTTAAAAGAAATAAGAGAAAAGGTAAATGGGGATCATTAACAGTAAGAGAAGGAAAAAAAGGGCTGTGATTCCAGGGGAGTGACGATGAGAGGGAATGTTGACACTACAGAGCGTCAGAAAAAACTTTCACTTCTCTTGACATCACCAAGGAATGTATTTGGTATATGCTATGTTTTTTTTCCTTTCTGTTAACAGTCGATGAAATCCTCCTACATATAAAGCACTATGCTAAAAGTGATAGGAGATTATGTCAGGGCTATTTTCCTCCAGGGACTTCTAATCTAGGTAGTGAGACAATATGCCCAGACTTCCAGGAAAAGCATAATAACAGTACAAGGATGTGGATGATTGTGTGCAAGTGGTTCAGATAAAATGTAAAGATCAAGGAGAAAGATCTCAGTCCTTGTGGGTGAGGGACACAGGGTTAGTCTGTGGCCTGGAGAGGATTTGGTTAGGGGAGGAGGAGGAGGGAGACCCTTGCAAGCTGAGTATGAGAAAAGGCAAGGAGTTTGGACTTGTCTGGGTATTTAAGAATGGGGAGACATCCCAAAGGAACTGAGGAAATCTAACTCATTTACCTTCTTTTTTTTTTTCTGCAGTCAACACCCTTTTGTAGAAAATGTGGGATATTTAGACTATATCGCATTCTTATCCTCATCTGCACTTTCACCGGTTCTGCCCTTCTATGGTGGGCCTTCAGCCTTTCCACCTGGGTAAAGATAGAAATCCCAGGCAGTTCCAAAGTCCTGTTCAGTGCTCTCTTCGCAATCTGCAAAGGTGAGGTCACATGTTGGACGCCTCTATCAAGATCAAGTAAGTCCTGACCTTGAAAGGGAGGGCCCTACTCCAACCCTGTCCCTTCTAGGAATTGTCAGCCCTTTGTTCTGCCCCAGCACACCTGAAGGAGGCAATAACACTCCTGCCAGTAACAGAGACTCATTTCAGAATAAGCCAGGGGATCAGTCTTCCCTAGGGATACCAGCCCAGCTAGAATCACTATTCTAGATCTTTCTGCAACTTGCTTTTCCCTCTAACCCTAACTTCCCACCAGCTGCCATTGGTTCCTACCTTAAAGTCTCTGCACTGCTTCTTTAGTATTCTAGGGATTCAGCCCCAGGAAGGAAGGGGGCCCTAGAGGGAGCTGCTGGCCTTTCTCCCCTCTCCCTCCCTAATTCAGACTACTTCATATTTGGCCAAATTTTCATGATCAGCGCCCTTCTTCTCTCCTTCTTCCTGAGCTTTATACTCCTGGCCTTCCCTCATTCCCTTCCGGATTCCTGGGAACAGTACTTTGTCTTCACAATCACCTTCTTGATCATAGGTAAGAGATGGGAGAAAGAGGATTCCCTCAATTGTTCTGGTTCTGGGCTGGGGTGATGTTCCTTTGGGCATAGCCTGTTAGAAACTATTCAGGGACTGCTAAGGAAAAAAAAAGATAATCCAATGAAAATAAAAGGAAAAGAATAGAGTAGGGGGAGCTAAAATGACAGTTTAAGTTCTTAGGAATTAGCCCTAAGGCCATAGACTGAGCTAACAAGATGGGTTGTTGCCCTTTTTTTCCTGAGTAACAGGTATCTGCGTGTGCCTTGCATTACTGCTGCACTCTCTGGATATTTTGAAACTAACTAACTTAGACAAGGAAGCGAAAATCACCTTTCTCTACCCAACTTTCATCCTTTTATTCAGCGCCACACTATTTTTCATATCTGGTGAGTGTTCTTGGAGCCTTGTGAGTTCTTAGGATAGGTCCTGAATCCAGAACAACCATATCTATGAGTTTCAACTATTTCCTTTGAGTACTGTTAGTTTCTAGTTTCTGGGCATGGATGTGGTGCAATGACGTCTCATTTGCTCATTGCAGCTGCTTCTACTCTACAATGTTAGAATTTTGCCTTCAAAGAAGACATAGAATACATTTCTCCTGTACATTACATTCTGTAAGAACCATGTCTTAGAGATAAGAGAGAATTTGTAAGATAGATTGTAGTAGGGTGAGGGCTGGGTGGAGTAAAGAAATGGAATTGACAGAGTAATCTGCACTCTACGTTCCTAGACCATATTCTTGTTTGTTAAGCCTGTTTAAAAACTGTGAATTTCTTAACAAATATCAAGTGCTGTAATCATTTTCATCTTCAACAACATCATTCTTTCCTCAGGAATTCTCTGCTTCTTCAGCTCCCATCATTGTTGGCTTCGGTGTGTTTTACTGCAACCAATCCGTGTGAAACCTACGCAAGTATCAGTGACCAGTGGAAACAGTGACAGTCACATAGAGGAAACCAGATAGAGATGGCTAGCCTAACCTCACTGGTGGTGAGAAGACTAACTTTAATAGAGACATCATGTTTAGCCCATAATTCAAGACTTCACGGCTACACACACAATCTTGTTTAATTACTGTGTAAGATTGGAAAGAGTTGGCCTGTTACTAATCATTCATCAGACGTGGATTAGGATTCCAGGAACTTAGGTTTTTCACAAAGAGAAGACACAGTTGGGGCGTGGGGAGGCATGAGTGTGCTTTGGCTCTTGGGACTTGGAATGAAAATCTTCTCACCTTGAAGATTCCCTAGGCCCACTCCACCCTCTCACTGGTATTCCTGGTCACCTGGCAGTAGCTTTCAAACAGTAGCAAAGCTCTTTCTCTACCTACCAAGCCTGAGTTTTGATAAAAATTCACTGTCCTCTGGGAATTTCATGTGTGGTATCACTACTGTATTATTCAGGACTCTTTATTGGTAACATAAGGTAACAAAACCTTATCCAAACTACCTTAAACATCAACAAAAGGGTGAATTTATCAAGAAGATGCAGGCGTAGCTCATAGACTCAAAGGAAATTCTGGTAGAATCAGGACAAAAAAACTTTGGGGAGTAGACATGGAGCTCATTTCCTTCAGCTTACTATTTTTTTACTACTCAATGAAAGTTAATGGAATTTCCTGATTCATAAATGTAATCACCGTCCCAAATTCCCCTTGCTCATCACTTCCAATGAATCATCAAAGCCTGTCCTTTCCACCTTAGCCAGACCTCTGTTCTGCTCTCTGAGCCCTCCTCACCCGCCTTGGGCCAGACCAGGCCTTTGCCATCCCTGCCCAGACTATGCGGTCTCTAAATGTGGCTTCTCCCCCACTGCAGTCTAGCTCTACAGTGCTGCCCGGCTAGATTCAATCTTCCTAAAACACAGAACTGAGAATGTTCTTCTTAAAAACCTATTTTCCCTTTTTCTTGCCTACAGGATAAGTCCCTTATCTTGAGAAATAAAGTTATTTACAAGTTGGCACAACCTATCTTTCAAAATGTTTTAATTTTTTTATTGTGATGCATGTCATACATGCAAAAAAGTATTAAAATGTATATATACAGTTGGAAGGATAAGAAGGGAATCACCAGATATAGAAAAAAATAATATTGCCAGTATTAGAAGCCCGTGGTGTGCCCCTTCAACCTGCCTTTCTAGCCACTTTTCCTGCTCCTCCAGTTCGTCTTCTCCATGCCAGTTGAAGCTGTAGCTCTGCCATATAGAATTGCTTTCCTTAAAATACGCCTTGCATCTTTTTTTTTTTTTTTTTGAGGAAGATTAGCCCTGAGTTAACATCTGCTGCCAATCCTCCTCTTTTTTCTGAGGAAGACTGGCCCTAAGCTAACATCCATGCCCACCTTCCTGTAGTTTATATGTGGGATACCTACCACAGCATGGCTTGCCAAGTGGTGCCATGTCCACACCCGGGATCCAAACCGGTGAACCCCAGGCCACCGAAGCGGGAACATGGGCACTTAACTGCTGCATCACTTGGCCGGCCCAGCATGCATCTTTTGTAACTTTAGTCTTGAATATCCTGAACCCTCTGGCCCTTTATTTTCTTATTCACTAGGGCAAATTTGTTTTTCCTTAAAGATTAAGCTCAGTAGAGGAAGATGGGCACGGATGTTAGCTAAGGACCAGTCTTCCTCAGAAAAAAGAGGAGGATTGGCAGATGTTAGCTCAGGGCTAATCTTCCTCAGGGAAAATAAAAAAGATTAAGTTCAAATGTGATGTCATGGAGAACTTCCCCTGACTTCCCCTCCAGAGTTTATTGCTCTACTTCTGTGTTGCTAGTGCATTTTCTTCTTTATTTCTGGGATAGCACTTCTCCTGTTTTATTGTAATTATGAGTTTATATTTGTCTTTCTGACTGGATATTAGTTCCTTGAGGAATGAGGATTCAGCTTTATCTTGGAATCCTTAAGATTTCACATTTTACTTGGTAAATGGATATTCAATAAATGCCTTTTGAGTTATTGGAGTTAAGCTTTAGAAGATTGGGAAGGAGTTGGACACTGTTGTCAATGATGGCTATGCTTCAATGACTGTCTAAATATCTGCCAAGATTCTACCTGCATTATGCCATTTAATCTCACAACGAACCTGCAGCATAAGTATCATCCCCATTTTGCAGATAAGGTAATGGAGTGATTGAAATTAAATGATTTGTCTAAATTCACATAGCTAGTAAAAGGCAGAGTCAAGTTTTTAACGTGGGTTGCTCTCTAAGCCTGCTCTTTCTTTCCATTTCAAGTTTCTTCTACATGAACAATGATAACAATAGAGAGTAAAAGTTAAGACAAAGTGTTAAACTGTAGTGATGCTGGAGATGAACAGATCATGATGATGAAACAAATTAAAAATAGCTCTTATTAAAGAAACTACAAATATAAGACTGGGAATCAATGAGACTTATATATTTCATAGGCAAATTTAGGTAGCATAAATTGCTGATCTCCAGAGTTAGGAATTTAACTCCTCTCCTGTCCTGGAGAGGTAGATGGAGGCAGCTATTTCAGGTTGAGCTTCAGATCTCTGCACTGTGATGCACATGTCAACTTCTGACACTTCAGACTCAGAAACTGTAGTGTCACTTTACTATACAGTCATAAAGATCTCTGGTGTATGGCGTTATTAATGGCCAAATACATAAAATTCTGAATTCTAAGTCAATATGTAATCGTGTACAATTAATGTGATGTACAAGTAGTGTGCTTGTATACAAGTACTGAATACAAACTGTAGTCAAATTACATCTATGATGGCTAGATCTGGAAATCTAGCTATGGTCTAATGTGGGTTAATGTAAGTAATAGAGCTCTCAGCTCTCAAAAATGCTAATAAACATACTTATTTCATTTTATTTCAAATATGGGGATGGAGTAGGGTGTTGCAGCCAGTACTATTTGTCTGTCCCAGCACTAGTCACCAACACCACTGCCCCCATTCCTCCTTTTCAACAGAAAAAATGATTGCATTCACATAACCTTCTCTATACTGTCTTGGGATTTGGAAGAGGTGGACCCCCTTCTCAGCTCCAGAGGCAGAATTCTGATTGATCTAATTAATCAAAGTGGTCCCTCTCTTGGCAGTAGTTGGATTAAGTGATAGTATGTGATACAATTCTAGCCATTGTGAGGGGAAATCTACTGGAGAGCATATAGAAGTCATCCTCAACAAGAGATACAAGAAAAAGGTCTGTTTGTTTTCCTTCTGGGCTTTATCTTGAGATTGTGAGAGTTTTAGGTTCTACAGGGGAAACAGCTGGAGTATGACATCCATATGCTGAGAATGACAGAGTGCCAAGATTCAAAATATCTGGGTCCTGATGACATCATGGAGCTACTGAATTAACCAGGCATGTTGCCTCCCTACCATCTGCACTTCTTATGTGTGATAATAAATTAACTTTGTTTAAGCCAGTTGAGTGTTGTTGTTTCAATTGTTGTGGAGCTATTGCTGAAAGTTTCCTGTTACTGGGGAGGGATCTTTGGGCTAGATATCTTACAAGTTTTGTAAGCATTGTGTTCTAAATCCTCCTGATCACGACCATTATGAAAAACAAATAATGAAAATGTCTAGTGTGCACTTGGTTCATTAATCTTTTTTTTTTTAATCTCAGCAGCCTAGACATTCTCTTCATTTAGGAGGCCTACTTCTCAGCCACTATTCCAGCCCAGCCCTACTGTCTGACTGTCACTAGCTTTAGAATTAATGCGCACATGCCCAGCCCTAAACCCTGAGCACATAAACTACTGTGAGCCTAAAAGGTATATTCAGGAAGCTAGAATACCACTGCTGTATATAGCACTCCACTCACCTCCCACTCAAACATGTGAATTGGGATAGCATGGAATCACAGACTCGTGATGCCTACCTATACCACAAGTTAAACTTTTTTCCTGATGCTTGCAGGCATTTTTCTCACTTCATTCATGTATGCAGACTTTTAATGCGAAATTATTTATTGTAGACACTGAGGGTGCACCCCTCAAGAAAGATACAATTGAGTGGGAAATGCCGCTGAGCAAACAGCTGTTTATAACACAGTGTGATAAATGCCACAATTGAGGGATGTGCTCCGCACTCTAAGAGTACAAGAAAGAACACAACCCAAACTGAGGAAGAATTAATAGTGCAATTGGGTTTGCATGTGTTTCTGTTATTCCGTTTGTTCATCCTGGTCCCTGATTCTCGGTTGCCTTCCATTCTGCAACAGCGATGCCCTAAAAACTCCATCATTTGCTGCTTCCAGGTCCCTCCCCACAAGGTCGAGGATCTGAGGCCAGCAGGATATTGAACTAAGGAGGCTTCAGGGTAGACCTCGAATCTTTACATTCTCTCAACTGGGAAACTGGAGAGCGGACAAATGGGAAAGATGTCGAGGGCACGTCAACAACATCCAGAAATTCTATGGTATAAAAATGCAAGAATCTCACAAAGGCTAATTAACAATGGTTCAAAAAATGCTAACATGAGTGGGGCCAGTGGCGCAATGGATAACGCGTCTGACTACGGATCAGAAGATTCCAGGTTCGACTCCTGGCTGGCTCGAGGTCACTTTTAGTTTTCTGAGGAGATGAGGTCGTGTGCTGTGCTGTTTAAAATCCACATGTATCAAAAAAATTCTTCAGAAGCTTTTATTTTAAGGAGATCCTCATAAAACTTGTTCAATCACGACACATCTGAGAAGGATTGAGGGAAGTTGAGAGAGGCTGGAAAAGATTTACAAAAGAATAAGACAAGAACCTGGCACAAGTCTGACAATATCTTCTATACTAGCCCATTTTGCATGAAAAAGTCTCCCGTCTGAGAACACTCGACTCTTTGTTAATGCTCTCTCTCGAATTAACATAATCATCAGAGAATCCTGCTTAATTTCCCCCAATGTTGAGCTGTCCAAATTCACACCGAAACAAGCTACAGCTGTTTCATAACCAAAGGAGAGAGAAGCTTAAGTGGGGAGGGCAGAACGCACGGGGATCACCAGTCAGGTGTAAAAAACAGCCACGAGTGAGGAGAAGCAACTCGTAAGCGATGAGACCTTCACAGAGTAAAGGGGACGATCCGGATCTTCTATCAAGTTACCAGTGGATGGGGTTGAGATCAGCTGGTAGGAGGTAGCAGCACAGAATTTAACTGGCTGGGTCGTCCCTGCAGGTATCCGCAGAAGTTCAACCCACCGCTGCGCAAACCTCCCCACACCCTGGGTCCGCGGCTCAAAGGGGACAAGTCCCTGCGGTTACTGCCCTGAGCGCTCGTCCTCACGGAGGGAGAGACTCCTCGTGATGGACGCGGACGCAGAACCGGGCGGGTCTGCTGGCAGCAGAAGAAAAGAGGGCGGAATCCTGGAGGAGTAAATGGGAGAGTTTTTCTATCCTAGTCAACTGAGACTGACGCTGAAAGAGCGCGGGAGGCGGCTGAGAGAATTTTGGCGACAGAAAAGAGAAAAGAAGGAGCAGGAAAGAGCGGCTCCTTTCATCCCGGCTGTGTTGTGGCCTTGTAGGATAATGTGGCCCTTAGTGTGGGGTGTTAAGTAAAGTCGATTCCATCTTCGCCCCGTGTGTACCCATAAAGAGAAAACAAAAAGATTCAGTGTCTGTTGTTTAGATCTGAACTTGCTGTCCTGGGTGAAAAGCTCTGTGGTTGCCATCTGGAAAGCGGAGATTGCTACCACAAGTAAGGGAAAGGATAGCACGAAAGAGGAGAGAACGCTGACTTAGCTCTCGCTGCCTCTCTTGGTCAAAGTGTGTCCTCTCTGCCATATCACCTAAACAGCTCCTGACAGTTTCGCGTGCCCTTTCATTTTTAATTCAAATACATTAAACAGGTATCCCTCCGCCCAAAAGGAATTCCTACAACCATGCCTGCTCTGTTCACACTGTATTCTCTCCTCCTCTTCATTCCTCAAGTTTCATTTTTTCTTCCTTCTCTCTGATATAGTCTTGAACCTTAACCCCCTTTTTGTAAAAGACATTTGTGTTTTTTGCTGTTCTCTCATATAGTGTGGGTTATGACCGCTACATGACACACATTAACAGGGATTGAACGTGTATCTTAGAAATCAGAAAAAGAGTGTGGGTCAAACGGTTTCCGTAGTGTAGTGGTCATCATGCTTGCCTAACACGCAAGAGGTCCTTGGTTCGAAACCAAGCGGAAACAGCGGATAACTTTTGCCCTCCACAACCCAGATGACTGTTCCCATCGCCTGCTCTAAGTGAGCGAACCTGCAAGGAGCAAGAGATAGTCCCACCTCTCTTAAGAGCAAGATAATCATCCTGGTATCGCTATGCCACATTATTAGCCGGGACGTTCCGAGTGAATGCTTCCCAGCTGGGAAATGCTCTCTTTTCTTCAGAAATGTGCAACATGAAGTTTTGGCGGCACCAGAGCTTTCTCCTGGAGAATTTCTCCCCCGTTACCTTTTCTCCTCCTTTCTCTCGCAGGGGAATAGGTGACCAGCATTTATTGCATAAACATCAACAATGAAATTCTCACTGGATGGGCTCAATACCAGAATAGAAAAGACAGAGGAAATAGCCAGTGAACTTGAAGAGAAAACTATAGTAATAGCCCAATCAGAACAATAGAAAGAAAAAGTGTTTTTAAAAGTGAATAGAGCCTCAGGAAACAAAATGAAAGGAGTTAAAGATGTAATATTCACATCTTTGGAGTACCAGAAGAAGAGAGGAAAGTAAGGTAAAAAATTATTTGAAGACTTAGCTATAAACTTCCCAAATTTGGCAAAAGACAGAATCCTACAGATTCCAGAATTTCAGCAAACTTAAGCAGAATAAACTCAAAGAAGTCCACATGTGAAATTCTAAAATCAAACTATTAAAGAAAAAGAAAAAATGTTGAAAACAGCCAGAGTAGGGGAACAATGATTTGAATGTTTGTTTCTCATCAGAAACCATGGAGACCAGAAGAAATGGAATAACATTTTTAAGTGCTGAAAGAAAAGAAGTGTCAACCCAGAATTCTATCTACAGCAAAAATATGCTTTAGACATGAAGTTCAAATAAATACACTTCCATTTGAAGTAAAGTGAGAATGACTAGTGGAAATTATTTACACAGAAGGGAAGTAATACTAGAAGGAAACTTGGAATGTCAGGAATGAAAAAACAACAGAAATGATAAATATCTGGATAAATAAAATAGACTTACTTGTCACGACTTCTTTAAACTATGTTTGATGATTGAAATCAGAAGTGGTAATATTGTCTGATAGATTTTCATTGTATGTAGAAATTTTATATACGTAAAATAAAGGGATTAGAGTAAAGGGGGCCTAAATGGTGATTAGGTTTCTACATTCCACTTGAATTATAAAATATTTATTCTAAATGTACTGTGAAAATTTAAGTATTTTTATGGAAATCTCAGAGCAAGTACTAATAAAAATTGTACACATAAATATAATAAAAAAAAACACAATACAGGGGCCTCCCAGTGGCCCAGTGGTTAAGTTCACGGGCTCCGCTTCGGTGGCCCGAGATTTCACCAGTTCAGATCCCCAGCGTGGATGTGGCACCACTCATCAGGCCATGCTGAGGCGGAGTCCCACATAGCACAACCAGAGGCACTCACAACTAGAATATACAACTATGTACTAGGGGGCTTTGGGGAGAAGGAGGAAAAAAAAAAAGCAAAAAGAAGATTGGCAACAGTTGTTAACTCAGATGCCAATCTTTAAAAAAAAAACACAATACATAAATTAATGTAGAATACTAAAAAAATCTAAATAAGCCAAAAGAAGTCAGGAAGTGGGAATAGAAGAATGAAAATAGAGGAAACAAATAGGAAACAAATTATGAAATGGTAGACTTACACTCAAAAATATCAATAATTACCTTAAAGTCTAAACAACAATTAAAAGTTACACTGTCAGAATGAATTAAATATAAACAATGACCAACTGTATGTTGACCATAAGAAACTCACTTCAAATATAATGATATAAGTAGGTTAAAAATAAGAGAATAGGAAAAGACACACCATGCAATTACTTATCAAAAGCAAGCTTAAGTGAGTATACTGGTGTCAGCCAAAGCAGACTTCAAAGCAAAGAAATTTGCCAGAGGTGATGAGAGATGTTATGCAATTATAAAGTGTCAATTGACCAAGAAGACATATCAGTCTAAAAGTTGTATGCCTCTGGCCACAGAGCTTTAAAGTTCATGAAGCAAAAGCTGATAAAATTGAAAAGAGAAATAGACAAATTCACAATTATAGCTACAGATTTTCACAGTTCCGTCTCAATAATTGATGAATCTAGTAGACAAAAAAATCAGCTAGGATATTGAAGGACTGAACAGCAGGTAATGCTGGAGACGTATTCCATCTTCATCATTGATCAGAACCAGACAATGCTCAAAACAGTGAAAGGAAGAAAAGGAGGGTCATGATTAAGCTGTGCTGAGCAATGGGACAATCCTTGCATTTTACCCATCACTGACTGTCTTTCTTCTCCTTCCACTTGAGCTAAAACCCCTCAGTCACCAAGGATCCTATGAATGATGCTCTTGGAGACTGTGAGAATGGGGTAGTCCTTCAGCAACTCAATGTATACTTAGGTCAGTGGTGCATGGACTTGAAATAGGATGAAAAATTTCTCACATTTTGATTCTGTTGTGACTCTCCAGTAACTGAGCTCCTTTTCCAACTGTCCGCAGATATTCTTTCCTTAGCTCCCAAATGCCTGACTCAGATTTCTTCTGCTTGTTTTTTTTTAATTGGTATAAAATGCACTTAACATAAAATTTGCTACCTTAACTATGTTTAAGTGCACACTTTAGTGGTATTAAATACATCACATAGTTGTGCAACCATGACTATCATCCAACTCCATAATTCTTTTCATCTTATAAAACTGAAACTCTATACCCATTAAACAATAACCTGCCCTTTCTCCCCTCTCCCTGATCCTTGACAACCACCATTATACTTTCTGGAGTACTTAGATAAGTGGGATCATCCAGTATTTGTCTTTTTGTAACTGGCTTATTTCATTTAGTGTAATGCCCTCACGTTTCATCCATGTTCTAGCATATTGCAGAATTTCCTTCCTTTTAAGGCTGAATAATATTCCATCATACGTATGTACTACATTTTGCTTATCCATTCATCCATTGATGGACACTTGGGATGCTTCCGTGTTTTTGCTATTGTGAATAACACCACTGTGAACATGGGTGTACAAATATTTCCTTTAGACTCTGCTTTCATTTCTTTTGGGTATGTAGCCAGAAGTGGAACTGCTGGATCATATAGTAATTCTATTTTTAATTTTTTGAAAAAGTGCTATGCTGTTTTCCACACCAGCTCTACCATTTTACATTTCTACCAACACTGCAAGAGGGTTCCATTTCCATACGTCCTTGTCAACACTTGCTATTTTGTGTTTTTTTATAGTAGCCGTCCTAGTGGGTGTGAGGCAGTATCTTATTGTAGAGTTGATTTGCATTTTCCTAATGGTTAGTGACATTGAACATCTTTTTGTGGGCTTAGTGGCCATTTGTATGTCTTCTCTGGAGAATTGTCTATTCAAGTCCTCTGTTATATTTGAATTGGGTTTTTTCATTGTTGAGCTTCAGGAGTTATATATATATGTATATATATATATGTATGTATGTATGTATGTATTCTGGATATTAATTCCTTATCAGATATATGATTTGCAAATACTTTCTTCCATTCTGTGGGTTGCCTTTTTACTGCGTTGATAGTATCTTTTGATGCACAGAAAGTTTTAAATTTTCATGAAGTGCAGTTTGTCTAGCTTTTCTTTTGTTACCCGTGTCTTTGGTGTCATATCCAAGAAGTCATTGCCAAATCAAATGTCATGAAGTTTGTCCTGTGTTTTCTTCTAAGAGTTTTACTGCTTAGTTCTTACATTTAAGTCCTTGATCTGTTTTGAATTAATTTTTGTATACAGTGTTAGGTAAGGTTCTAACTTTATTTATTTATTTTTTTGCATGTGGATATCCAGTTTTCCCAGCATCATTTGTTGAAAAGACTGTCCTTTCCCTATTGAATGGTCTTGGGATCCTTGTCAAAAGGTCATTTGACCATATATGCTATAGGGTTTATTTCTGGGCTGTCTATTCTATTCCATTTGTCTATGTCTGCGTTTATGCCAATACCACACTATTTTGATTATGGTAGCTTTGAGATAAGTTTTGGAAGTGTCTTCCAGTTTTGTTCTTCTTTATCAACATTGTTTGACTATTCAGAGTCCCTTGAGATATCATATGAATTTTAGGATGGATTTTTCTATTTCTGAAAAAAATTGATATTTTGATAGGGATTGAACTGAATCTGTAGATTGCTTTGGATAGTATCCACATTTTTAATAGTATTAAGATTACAGTCCATGAACATGGGATGTGTTTCTACTTATTTATGTCTTCCTTAATTTCTTTTGACAATTTTCCGTAGTTTTCATTGTACAAGTCTTTCACTTTCTTGGTTAATTCCTAAATATTTTAACTTTTTTGGTGCTATTATGAATGAAAATGTTTTGTAATTTCGTTTTCAGATTGTTCATTGTTGATATATAGAAATGCAACTAATTTTTACTTGTTGACTTTGTATCCGGCTGCTTCACTGAATTCATTTATTAGTTCTAACACCTTGTTTTTGTGGAGTCTTCAGGATTTTCTACATATAAGATTGTATCATCTGCAAATAGAGATAATTTTACCTCTTCCTTTCTGATTTGACTGCTTTTTATTTCTTGTTCTTGCCTAACTGCTCTGGCTGGAACTTCCAGTAGTATGTTGCATAGAAGTAGTGAAAACAGGCATCCTTGCCTTGTTCCCTGATCTTAGAGAAAATACTTTCAGTGTTTCACCAGTGAGTATGATGCATGCTGTGGGTTTTTCATATATGGCTTTTATTATGTGGAGGTAGCTTCCCTCTATTCCTAGTTTATTGAGTGTTTTTTATCATGAAAGGGTGTTGAATTTTGTCAAATTCTTTTCTGCATCAATTGAGATAATCATGTTTTCTTTCCTTCTTCTGTTGATGTGGCATATTACATTGATCAATTTTCATATGTTGAACCATTCTTGCATTTCAGGAATAAATCCCATTTGGTCATGGTGTGTAATCCTTTTAACGTGCTGGTGAATTCTGTTTGGTAGTATTTTGTTGAGG